GACACCCTAATTAACTATACATGAACACCCTAAGATAAACATAGACACCCTAATTAACTATACATGGACACCCTAAGATACACATAGACACCCTAATTAACTATACATGAACACCCTAAGATAAACATGAACACCCTAAGATACACATAGACACCCTAATTACCTATACATGAACACCCTAAGATACACATAGACACCCTAATTAACTATACATGAACACCCTAAGATACACATAGACACCCTAATTAACTATACATGAACACCCTAAGATACACATAGACACCCTAATTAACTATACATGAACACCCTAAGATACACATAGACACCCTAACTAACTATACATGGACACACTAAGATAAACATAGACACCCTAATTACCTATACATGAACACCCTAAGATAAACATAGACACCCTTATTAACTATACATGAACACCCTAAGATACACATAGACACCCTAATTAACTATACATGAACACCCTAAGATAAACATAGACACCCTAAGATACATATAGACACCCTAATTACCTATACATGAACACCCTAAGATACACATAGACACCCCAATTAGATACACATGGACACCCTGAGATACATATAGACACCCTAATTAACTATACATGAACACCCTAAGATACACATAGACACCCTAATTAACTATACATGAACACCCTAAGATACACATAGACACCCTAACTAACTATACATGGACACACTAAGATACACATAGACACCCTAATTACCTATACATGAACACCCTAAGATACACATAGACACCCTAATTAACTATACATGGACACCCTAAGATACACATAGACACCCTTATTACCTATACATGAACACCCTAAGATAAACATAGACACCCTAATTAACTATACATGAACACCCTAAGATACACATAGACACCCTAATTAACTATACATGAACACCCTAAGATAAACATAGACACCCTAATTAACTATACATGAACACCCTGAGATAAACATAGACACCCTAATTAACTATACATGGACACCCTAAGATACACACAGACACCCTAATTAACTATACATGAACACCCTAAGATACACATAGACACCCTAATTAGATATACATGAACACCCTAAGATACACATAGACACCCTAATTAACTATACATGGACACCCTAAGATACACATAGACACCCTAATTACCTATACATGAACACCCTAAGATACACATAGACACCCTAATTAGATATACATGAACACCCTAAGATACACATAGACACCCTAATTAACTATACATGGACACCCTGAGATACATATAGACACCCTTATTAGATATACATGAACACCCTAAGATAAACATAGACACCCTAAGATACACATAGACACCCTAATTACCTATACATGAACACCCTAAGATAAACATAGACACCCTAAGATACACATAGACACCCTAATTACCTATACATGAACACCCTAAGATACACATAGACACCCTAATTAACTATACATGGACACCCTAAGATACACATAGACACCCTAATTACCTATACATGAACACCCTAAGATACACATAGACACCCTAATTAACTATACATGAACACCCTAAGATACACATAGACACCCTAATTAACTATACATGAACACCCTAAGATAAACATAGACACCCTAAGATACACATAGACACCCTAATTACCTATACATGAACACCCTAAGATACACATAGACACCCTAATTAACTATACATGGACACCCTAAGATACACATAGACACCCTAATTACCTATACATGAACACCCTAAGATACACATAGACACCCTAATTAACTATACATGAACACCCTAAGATAAACATAGACACCCTAAGATACACATAGACACCCTAATTACCTATACATGAACACCCTAAGATACACATAGACACCCTAATTAGATACACATGGACACCCTGAGATACATATAGACACCCTAATTAGATATACATGAACACCCTAAGATACATATAGACACCCTAATTAACTATACATGAACACCCTAAGATAAACATAGACACCCTAAGATACACATAGACACCCTAATTACCTATACATGAACACCCTAAGATAAACATAGACACCCTAAGATACACATAGACACCCTAATTACCTATACATGAACACCCTAAGATACACATAGACACCCTAATTAACTATACATGGACACCCTAAGATACACATAGACACCCTAATTAACTATACATGAACACCCTAAGATACACATAGACACCCTAATTAACTATACATGAACACCCTAAGATACACATAGAAACCCTAATTAACTATACATGAACACCCTAAGATAAACATAGACACCCTAAGATACACATAGACACCCTAATTACCTATACATGAACACCCTAGGATACACATAGACACCCTAATTAACTATACATGAACACCCTAAGATAAACATAGACACCCTAAGATACACATAGACACCCTAATTAACTATACATGAACACCCTAAGATACACATAGACACCCTAATTAGATACACATGGACACCCTGAGATACATATAGACACCCTAATTAGATATACATGAACACCCTAAGATACATATAGACACCCTAATTAACTATACATGAACACCCTAAGATACACATAGACACCCTAATTAGATATACATGAACACCCTAAGATACACATAGACACCCTAATTAACTATACATGAACACCCTAAGATACACATAGACACCCTAATTAGATATACATGAACACCCTAAGATACACATAGACACCCTAATTAACTATACATGGACACCCTAAGATACACATAGACACCCTAATTAACTATACATGAACACCCTAAGATAAACATAGACACCCTAATTAACTATACATGGACACCCTAAGATACACATAGACACCCTAATTAACTATACATGAACACCCTAAGATAAACATAGACAGCCTAAGATACACATAGACACCCTAATTACCTATACATGAACACCCTAAGATACACATAGACACCCTAATTAACTATACATGAACACCCTAAGATAAACATAGACACCCTAAGATACACATAGACACCCTAATTACCTATACATGAACACCCTAAGATACACATAGACACCCTAATAAGATACACATGGACACCCTGAGATACATATAGACACCCTAATTAGATATACATGAACACCCTAAGATACATATAGACACCCTAATTAACTATACATGAACATCCTAAGATACACATAGACACCCTAATTAGATATACATGAACACCCTGAGATACACATAGACACCCTAATTAACTATACATGAACACCCTCAGATAAATATAGACACCCTAATTACCTATACATGAACACCCTAAAGTAAAAATTGGCACCCTAATTAACTATACATGGACACCCTAAGATACACAGAGACACCCTAATTAACTATACATGAACACCCTAAGATAAACATAGACACCCTAAAATACACATAGACACCCTAATTACCTATACATGAACACCCTAAGATACACATAGACACCCTAATTAGATACACATGGACACCCTGAGATACATATAGACACCCTAATTAGATATACATGAACACCCTAAGATAAACATGGACACCCTAAGATACACAGAGACACCCTAATTACCTATACATGAACACCCTAAGATACACATAGACACCCCAATTAACTATACATGAACACCCTAAGATAAACATAGACACCCTAAGATACACATAGACACCCTAATTACCTATACATGAACACCCTAAGATACACATAGACACCCTAATTAACTATACATGGACACCCTAAGATACACATAGACACCCTTATTACCTATACATGAACACCCTAAGATAAACATAGACACCCTAATTAACTTTACATGAACACCCTAAGATACACATAGACACCCTAATTACCTATACATGAACACCCTAAGATACACATAGACATCCTAATTAACTATACATGGACACCCTAAGATACACATAGACACCCTTATTAACTATACATGAACACCCTAAGATAAACATAGACATCCTAAGATACACAAAGACACCCTAAGATACACATAGACACCCTTATTAACTATACATGAACACCCTAAGATACACATAGACACCCTTATTAACTATACATGAACACCCTAAGATACACATAGACACCCTTATTAACTATACATGAACACCCTAAGATACACATAGACACCCTAATTAACTATACATGAACACCCTAAGATACACATAGACACCCTTTTTAAGTATACATGAACACCCTAAGATACACATAGACACCCTTATTAACTATACATGAACACCCTAAGATACACATAGACACCCTTATTAACTATACATGAACACCCTAAGATACACATAGACACCCTAATTAACTATACATGAACACCCTAAGATACACATAGACACCCTTATTAACTATACATGAACACCCTAAGATACACATAGACACCCTAATTAACTATACATGGACACCCTAAGATACACATAGACACATATATGTACAATGTATGTGTATGTACACATACAAGGGCCTAAATATTTGACTATATGTGACAATTAAAATGTGTCATTGGTTCGTCATGGTGAGTGCTGTCACCTACACAAGGTTCAGAGTCAGGGATTTATGTTTGATCTAATCATTAAGCCTGGCTATCATTTCCTATTCTGTCCCAGTAAATGCAAATCGGACTTGCACATTAATCCTTAGAGGAAAAACATGCTCAACAACCGAATCATGGAACTCTCGTTAGCATGCATCATACAATTATAATGAACGTGTACGAAACAAATAGAGACCTAGCTGTGTGGGACAGCATCCCCCAATGGCTCGTTAACATCTGCATCAATGATGTGAAATATACACAACAATACCTTGACGCTGAAAGTTATGTGGTAGTATTACAAAATAAAACTCACATAAATTTAAAATCTTTAGTCTGCAAAACCAGCTCCATAGCAACAACAATTAAAAGAATTTGGTTGTTTCTGACGCTGAATAGCCGCGGTCGGGTTGTAACATCGCGCGATGCGGTTGTTAATTGTCACGAGCACAGACGAAGGTGTGGTAGCGTTATCCCGTGTCCAGACGCTAACTGCACCATGTGTTCTGACTGGCAAGAGAATCGATTGTTTAATATGTCTCTTATACCCTCCCCAGTTTGAACGCTGCGATCAACACGTGAAGCGAGATAGGTTAACTTTTTGGACGCTGCGGTCGGAATATATCGCGTGGTAAAACTGATTCAGATCTATGTGAACGCTGGCTTGTGTAGATAGAGGATGTGGATTTGCGATGAAGCAACTGTACTTTAACGTGGAGGAATGAAAAGTTGGAATGTTACAGGGACGAACGTGATTCTGACCAGGTAGGTGCAAAATTCAGTTCGTTTCTGAAATCAAGGAGCGTATAGAGACATGTGCTAGTGTTCTTTTAACACTTTACATCAACGTCGGTGACAGGATACATAACATTCAGTAATATAAATGCACATCCCAGAAGGGCATTAATATATCATAGGGTGCTTGTCATTAATGTATAATTATGCCTTTTAAATTAGGAACGTGTGTAAATACCTGTTAATCATCGCTGGGAGTGGATGATCTCACTAACAATGTTTTGCATTCCACTTTTAATGGTGATATATGTTAGCAGCTGGGAGTTCCACACCACGTTGAGTGGTTTTTTAACTCAAGCGGTGCATTAGGTTCATTCCTTTCGGTTACAAATGTAATATCAGTCTAATGATAAAATGGAGAATTGAAGAACAACAACCTGATACCCCAGATATATGTGTATGATTGTCAGATGAACGTCGTGGTACCGTGTGGACCACTAGCCTGAAGGTCCACCATCACTCAACATGTTCACTCATAGGGCTTTTTAGAAGACCAGAAGCAAAAAATGAAAACGATTTCGTGACAAGGAAGGACATGTATCTGTCATTCTGTCTGTATGTGTGTGTGTGTCCGTTTGTATGTCTGTTTTCCTATCAGCCTGTCGGTGTCTCTGCTGTCTTTCTGACTGTTAGTATGTCTGTGATTCTGTCTGCATGTCTGTCTGTGAGCCCGTCTGATTATCTCTCTGTCTTTCAGCTTTTCTGTGAATCTGTCTGCACTCGTGTGTCTCTGTCTGTGAGTCTGTATGTCTGTATGTCTGTCTGTGAGTCTGTCTGATTGTCTCTCTGTCTTTCAGCTTTCTGTGAATCTGTCTGCGCTCGTGTGTCTCTGTCTGTGAGTCCGTATGTCTGTATGTGAATCTGTCTATCTGTCTCCAGCTATGTCATGATCTATTAAGTAAATCATCATCATTTCTATTTACACCGACGTTTCCTTTCAATCGTCTATCATTTCACTCGTTAAACTTTGTATTTGTAGATCAATGTATATTGTAACCATATCTCTGTTTCTATAAATCTAAATGTATCCATTATATTGCTATATTTCTCGTCTCTGTTTACATAAACCCACTGGCTCTTGTGTTCATGTGGCGGCAGACATACGAGAATCTTTCAGGGTACAGTTTCACATATAAGTTTTACATATGATCAAAGAAGGGTAGGTTGACAAGTACGAATACATATATTGAAACACGAGTTCTCTGGCTTAGACATGTTCTCCATGTAAATCTTCCGTATCCAATGATCACGTCCTCACTGCCAGCACGCCACACTGCGGCCAACACGGTCACCGCCGGCACCAAGCTCATACCGTGCTTGAAGCACATCGCGAGGTTTATGAGACGTGTATAATGGTGCTTCTGTTAACAGCGTGACTTGGCACACGTTTCTGATGTTAGCTTATCTTGGTTTTTTTGCAAACTGGAACTGTTTGATTTTTATATACTTGTATATGTAGCGTATAGTACTGATCTGTGACTAAGTTATGGTCAGGTAGTGTGGAATTTACATTATCCTGCCATGCATTGAGATACTTGTATCTGATTGGTTACTGAAAACAGTTGACTTCCATGTACCTCGTTGGCAGATAACGTAAATGTTTCATATACCTCGCTGACAGATATCGTACAATTTTCATATACTTTCCTGACTGATAACGTACAATTTTCATATTCCTCTCTTACTGATAACCTACAAATTTCGTATTCCCTTCTGACAGATAACGTAAAAATTGTCATACTCCTCTGTGGCAGGTGTGGACATTAAATTGTTGATACGAGGGTGGACACATAAGCGTGTTGTGGACATTATGATGTCCGTATCATGACGTCAACATGAAGACGTCGAAATAAAGAAGTCGACATGGCGGCATCAGCATCTCTTTGTCAATAGGTGTCCCAGTCCGCTCTGTCTGTGTATGTGTTTATGTTTCTAGGTTTGTCAACACCATACTTGTGTTGAGGTGTCAATAGGTGTCCCAGGCCGCTCTGTCTGTGTATGTGTTTATGTTTCTAGGTTTGTCAACACCATACTTGTGTTGAGGTGTCAATAGGTGTCCCAGGCCGCTCTGTCACAGGTATATGTGTTTATGTTTCTAGGTTTGTCAACACCATACTTGTGTTGAGGTGTCAATAGGTGTCCCAGGCCGCTATATCACAGATAGATGTGTTTATGTTTCTAGGTTTGTCAACACCATACTTGTGTTGAGGTGTCAATAGGTGTTCCAGTCCGCTATATCACAGATAGATGTGTTTATGTTTCTAGGTTTGTCAACACCATACTTGTGTTGAGGTGTCAATAGGTGTCCCAGGCCGCTATATCACAGATACATATGTTTATGTTTCTAGGTTTGTCAACACCATACTTGTGTTGAGGTGTCAATAGGTGTCCCAGGCCGCTATATCACAGATACATATGTTTATGTTTCTAGGTTTGTCAACACCATACTTGTGTTGAGGTGTCAATAGGTGTCACAGTCCGCTCTGTCTGAATTTGTGTTTATGTTTCTAGGTTTGTCAATGCAATACTTATGTTGAGGTGTCAATAGGTGTCCCAGTCCGGTATGTCACATGTATATGTGTTTATGTTTCTCGGTTTGTCAACACCATACTTGTGTTGACGTATTAATAGGTGTCACAGTCCGCTGCCTGTATATGTGTTTATGTTTCTAGGCTTATCAGCGCCATACTTGTGGGAAACACCAAAGTACAAACGTTGAAATGCCTAAGATGTCCCCATGTCAAGCTGACACGACATGAAATAACTGAAATAATGTTCAAAGCAGCGTTAAACATAACGTACTCCCTCACCGGGGGCTACCTATAGAGCAGGGAAAGCTTGACCGTTTCGTGAGCACCTGCTGTCATCGCTGATTATCAGTGATCCTTCAAATAGCTCTCAACCTGTTTCATCTTTTCCGACCAATGATATCTGTTTCGGCATGTAGTCGACACTGAATATCCTACCTCAGTGACGTCATGGAGTTACTTATCAACCATATGCGTCTGTTATTATTGCTGTTGTGCTTCTGAAAAAAACATATACGGGAAAGCATCATATTGTCTTGTGGATGTTCAATAACATATTGGCCTGACGTTACGTGAATTTATCTTCTGGTGTATGTTGAAATCTGTATTTATCTAATCGGAGGTAGTGAAGAAGGGCAAGTGCTGATTTGGCTGATTAGCACGTCAGGTTTAATAAGTGTCCAGGGCAACATTCTTTTCGTCGCGCTGTCAACAACGGTTCAAAATAATATTTATAAATCAAATCATTTCAATACTCGTTTCTACAACGTGTTCACTGGATATATGCAGAGATGCAGTTTCGTTATCATGGGAACATCCATTGTTCTATTCTGATTGTGACGTCACAAAAATGTTGACGTTGGTGATCCCCCTTGACTAATAGCATAGTCACGTTTGTATGATCAAAAACAAGTCAATATCCGATATGATGGAATGTATTTTGGTTTACTCTACTGACAAAAGCAATTAGAAGACGAGATCACAAACTGAATCTGGGACTGTGTATTCTCTGACGGAAATGTGTACCGATACATTAGGTATTGAATATCAAAGTGGTTCTTCATATTGAACCTGTTGTACATCACAGTGACCCTCACAATGTAACATACAGCTGTCATTGTTGAGTCATACTTTGTAACCCCAATTACTATCTGACAACCTACGTTTTAATTGAGCACTACAATTGCGTTTCAATTATTAAAGGTGCCTGCACCAAACGTATTAGCTACACTCATTATTAAGCATTCAGGCGTAGACTTTATTGAAAACTAATGATTCTGTACATATCATATAGGTAAGTAGGTCGTTATTGAGTACAGGGGAGGTCGGGTAGCCTAGTGGTTAAAGCGTTCGCTCGTCACGCCGAAGACCCAGGTTCGATTCCCGACATGGGTACAATGTGTGAAGCCCATTTCCGGTGTCCCCGGCCGTGATATTGCCGGAATATTGCGCTCAAATCATTTTGAGTACAGATTCTTATATTTGATACACATAAGTTTAAACAAAATAGCCTTGGTCTAGTTCCAGCCAAGATGTAATATTTGTGGAGATGGTCACGTGTCCAGCATGACGTGTTCTCATTAATAATTAGGATAACTTAGTGCAGATTTGACTAAAATTGCACGAATTAATCATCAGCGAGGTATGTACAGAAGCCTTTTAGGGCCATTTGTTTTTGTGTTGTTGGTTTTGTTGGGTTTTTTTGGAGGGAAGGGGGTTCTTGAAATTTCAAGATACTAACTTGAAAATTCAACTTATTATCATTATCTTGAAATTTCAACATGGTATATATCTTGAAATTTCTAGTGAGGGTCTTGAAATTTCAACTTAGTATCTTGAAATTTCAATGAAAAAACTACAAAAACAAATGTGCCTTAAAGGCTTCCGTAGGTATGTGAATTTGTGTGACCCGATTAAAATATGCAGTCCCCGATTAAAGAGCAGTCAACATGACGCAAGGACTGGTAACACTACGCTTATGCATGGTGCTGGTCGCGACGTGATTTAAGCGAGTGGATATTGTTTTATACCGCTTTTAGCAATGTTCCAGCGATATCAAGGCGGGTGACACCCGAGAAGGGGTTCACACACTGTACCCATGTGGGGAATCGAACCCGGGTCTTCGGCGTCAGGAGCGAGCGCTTTAACCACGAGACTACCTCACCGTCTTGTCGGGATTTGAGATTAGCAATGATTCATGAACCGAGGCTCTCACGAATTGTTTCCCTCCTATTTTTGTGTGGATTCGTTGAGCTTGTGTTATTTTAGAAAACAAACTTGTGGGATACTTTCTCCGTGGTCAAGGCTTGATCCAGATTCATGTTCGCGTACAGGCAGAAGCAATATTAATAGGTCATATGTTATTAGCATGATCTAAGTCGAACTAATGTCAGGAAACGCGTGCATCAAACGAACAAAAATGTTCCACTCATTTCATGAAAT